GTTCTCATACTGCACCAAGCATATTTTGCAGTCCCCTCTGTGCGTCTAGCTACAGTTATACTGCTTCCATAAATGTATTTTGCAGTGAAAAACGAGCTCACAGTGAGTAAACGTGATGATGGGAGTAAGAAACAAACTGCTTCAAATTCAGTAATATGAGCTAATCTGCATTATGTCTGACAGATAAAGTGTAATTTATGATGCTTTCTTTCCACTAGTCTGTTAAAAGACGTGTTATGGAAGCACATTATCTCCAAAACCGACATGAACAGAGATGTGTTTTTGCCTGCAGTGTCTCGTCTTAAGAAGTTCGTCTCCCCTACCTGGTCTTGACACATGAGCTCAATCTTCTCTTCAGCTAGCATGGCCATGTCCTCCTCCTTCTCCTGCTCCCCGGGTTTGTCGTTGGCCGAGGAGCTGGTGGTCTGCGACTCGTTGTCCAGGTTGATGATCTTCTCGTAAACATGCTCCATCACCTTCCTCACCTGGAGCATGTCGCTGGCTGACAGACGGTCCCTGAACAACACACACACACAAGGTCAAACATCAGGTGGGTGATCTCGTTTTCTGCTCGCTTAAACACAACAAGTCTTCGCTTTGACTCACTTTTTTAGAGTTTTTGCACCGGAGGAAGAATGAGGCTGGAGGTAGAATGGGATTTTGTTGAACTTGGGCATATTTTTCTGGAACAGAAGAAGAAAGATCACAGGTCATTGAAGAAACTAAACATCAGTGCACATGTTGGATCACAAAGATGTGGAAAAATACTAAACTTCTTCTAGAGAAAAACAATGAAAAAACCCTTAAAGTCAAGCTGTCAGTTCAACACATTCAAAGAACTGTATTTATCCCCTAGACCAGTGGTTCTCAAACTTTTTGAGCCACGATGCCCAAGATAACATAAGTTTGTGTTCGTGACCTTCTAGGTTGAATTTTTAGTATATCATGAGTAATAACTTTGTTGTTGGTGCATTAATGCGTTAAAAACTAATGTGTTAATTCCACAGATTCATCTCTTTATATTAACACGTAAATTTTCTTTTGAATGAATGAACAAATTGAATTTATTTCGAACAAATGAAAGGAAAAAAATATACAAAAACAAAAGAAAATAATTTTAAAAAGAGTAAAAAAGAATAATAATATGGCATAATCAGATCATAACATTAACAAGTCTGAAAAAGGAGTAGGAAGAAGTACACACTTATAATTCTGACAGCCTTATTACACATTTCTTTGATAAATGTAGGCTTTTTTTTTTATTTATTTATTTTTTTTACAATGATCTGGTGACCCCTGAAATTATCCTGGGACCCCCATAGGGGTCCTGACCCCCAGTTTGAGAACCACTGTCCTAGGGGCAATTCAAAGTTACTAGTATATAAATAAATTAATAAATACGATAAATAAACACATAGTTGATTGCAATAAAAAACAGGGAGCACTCTGACGGGGTGGAAGTGTCCGGAACACACAGGCAGTACTTGGCTGCTGATGCTAGTTTAGTTAGCACTCACACTTCTGTTTCCACCATCGGTGGCGGGGGAGTGGCAGATACGCTCCACTGTTACCATCCCAAACACTGAGCATGGCTGTCAGTATGTTGAGGCTATTTTTGATGTGTTCCGTTCATTTTTCCTAAAAACCTGTCGGATAGCAAGGTTTTGGGTTGTTAAGGGTCGAATTATCGAGTCACGACTGTTCTCAGCATCTTAATCTTTGCTTCATACCAGACACATGGTTGTATAAGCTCATAAAAACTATCATTCTGGTCACCCGTTTAAACCAAATGACTTATTTTTGCCTCTTATGTGCAGCTTTTCTTGTGTTCCCACATCCCACCATCCAAGCATACGTGTTCGCACTTTGTACAAGAAGTCGTAATTTCCTTCCTACAAGCTTCCAAACCTGTGGTTAAGTAAAAGCTTCTCTAAGTGAAAGACGCATGAAATATACACACTTGAGCTTTCTAATTTCAATAAAATATTTAGGTGATGTGGACCAGAGTTAAGGGAGTACGTGACAAAAGAGGAAAAAAGGGAATGAAGAGGGAAAAGGTTTTTACACAACATGGAAGGGAAGAAGGGATTTGACACAGATACAAGTAAATAAGTTTATATTTAAAAGGGCAAAAAAAAAGAAAGAGCAGTAATACTCACATCTACAGTTATATCAATAACCCACTGAGGGACTGTCTCATTCAGCAGCATGGACTCAGTCTCTCCTCCTGAATCTCTACATAGCAACCTGCAGCAGACAAACAGAACATCAGAGGTGCAACCAAGAGTCAGATATTAACTTTGTTTTATTGACACTTTACATTTTATTGTCACTGACACGTTAAAAGTTTATCAGTGAGATGGTACCTAAAAAGAGTTCTTCCTCCTGCTTCTCCAAAGATGACTGGCGTGTGTGGTGGCACCTGGAAGTATCCGTTTCCTTTCTGGACCCGGTTCTCCTGCTCTCCGTTCACTGTGGGCACAACAACGTCATCCTGCTGTAAGTGAATGACACCTCGGGTCGACTGGCGGCGCCGAGGCACGCAGCCAACTCACGTGTGAGGCCAAGTGGATAAAAAGACGAGAGCAGCAACAAACAAAGTCGCCTCGGCAACAGCCAAACATCTCCAGCGATGCTTTACTGACTCTGTGCTCTCTTTGAAGTCAAACAAATTTAGATCGGAGAGTTTTTCCGGATTTTATTTACATCATGTTTTATAGCTTCTTCTTCTATTTTGTGCTCATTTTATTTCCATTTTAATTCATTTTATTGGAAAGCACTCCGTAACAAGCGCTCTCTAAATAAAGTTTATTATTATTATTTACTGGGAGCATCCCCCCTGAGCATCACCGTAGATGTTTGATTTTATACGAGTCATTCAGCGACTAGACAAACAAGCGTCTCCTCACCGTGGTTCACCTCGTTCTCCTCCTCATCCATGGGGTTGATGCGGGTTCTGGGCCAGAACTCCAGCAGCGCCTGCAGCAACAGTCCACCCAGGTTCACTGCAAAGGCGACAGAATCGAGCAACATTACGTCAGAGATGCGGCTCTGCACCGCTGAATATTTATTCTGATTTAAAATGACGTATCGTACACTTCGGGTCGGATCCGTCAGAACTTGAAAACCCTGCGTCCTTTGCAGAGACCCAGGCAGCGAAGCAGTCGCTCTCATCCAAAGTGATAGTGAGCATCTGTTAAAAAAAAACACAAGAAGATAAATGCACAACTATTAGCTGCATAAACCATTAACAGAGGAGCAGGTAGGAGGACGTCTAGAGCTGCAGACAATCACAGAAAATCCACTGAAACCGACTAACAAAAAAATCAGCACTTTATCTGTAGATGAACTAAATGGGCTCCTGTACACGGAGTGCACTCTGCCTTAATGTCTTCAATGGTTTAGAAACAAACATTAAAAGCTGGTATTTGCAAGATACTAAATTATCTGAATGTGGTGATTTTACTGTGAGCAGAGCAGCGTTCACTTGCAAAAATTTCCTAAACAAAAAAAAGCACAACTGTAAACACAACCTGTGATCCCAGCACAAGACCTGCTGAGTACTAAAACACACATAAGTCTGTTGTTCGATGATGTGTCACGTTGAGCTGTGATATAAAAACTGCTCTTTGCAAACTTTACAAGTTCAGTCATCCATCTGGACAAAGTGCACACCGATGGCTCCTTTCACATGATTACATAAAATAAGTTCGACCCAGCAGTCTCCATCGGGAGGTTAAAACTGTAAAAACAGCATCGGGGGTTTTCACAGCCAGTCAGTTGCTTCTGCCTCCAAAAATAATGAATCAATGCAGGAGGCTTATTGATTTTAAGCCTTATGAAAGTAACGCCGCTTATTTTACTGGCTGTCGGACCAATTAGAATCTGATTCTCAGGCGATCTGGAGTCGAAAGCCCTTAGAAGCGATCAGAACTTGCCAATAGGGCAGGGTGACGTGGCCAAAAGTATTTATCACGATATAAATGAGAAGATTTGTGATAACGATATAACTAACGCTAGACAAAATACTTAAAACTGCACAGCTTTATTGGTGCAAATTTTTTAAAAAAAAGAACTATTTCTTTTCCATTTAGCGAGCAGCTGTTTTTTATGTGCATTAAAGCTGTATTCTACCAAAATCAACAGTGCATCAGTTGTAAATTGCTTGCTGACAATTTGTCTAATCAAAAATTATTTCAAACTGAAATGAGCTGATGAATCCTGAGCACTACACACTGGCACCGTTAAATATTCTGCACCTTGTACAACATGTTACATGTTCCATTTGCTTTATTTGATTAGATTTTATTTATCTATGTATATATATTTCTTGAACACGTTAGGTATCTTATTTTATTCTATTTTTATTTTATTTTTTTATTGCAACTGGATGCAGGTACTAAGCACATTTCACTACGCATTGTACTGTGTATAACTGTGTACATGACGAATGATAAAGTTTATCTTGTCTTATCATTGCATAGTATCCACAAAAGTGGGTGGGGGGTGTACTTGTAGTACTTGGCTGCTAATGCCAGTTTAGGATAGCGGTCACAGTTCTGTTTTCACCATTGGGTGGTGGTGGCGGCAGCGGGCGAATATTCAGATCTCAAAATTGCTATCCGGATACGACCGAATACTCCAATATTCAGATCTAGCCCTGCATTCACCCTAAGCCAGGTGGGATAGGCTCCAGCCCCCCGCGACCCTGGTCAGGATTAAGCGGCGTATAGATAATGGATGGATGGATGGATGGATGGATGGATGGAAGGGTCCAGCCCTACTGTGTCAGTCGATGCACTACATTCGCCCCCCTCCTCGGTCGCCGCCATGTTTCTCGCTCCATTAGACCGGATGAAAACAACAGCACTGCATGTTTCCCTCAAATTTTATCGTGCTTTTTCAATTTCACATCATCCCCTAACATTACAGCGGTATTACCGTGCACGGTGTGATAAGGCCCAGCCCTACTCACCAACGCAAATAAAAAGCTCTTGTAACTCACCCCAGTTTTCAGATCTACAGAGAACCAATTTGGCACATAGACCATCTTGAAGCGCTTTTTAATCTCTTCATCAAATTCCACTTTGCCCAAGTCTTCCCCCTTGCAAGCCTGAAGAAAGAAAAATATATATTAACCACAAATATCAGCAGGAAGATGCTCACACAAAGTCCATTTAAATACATTTCCAATAACATTATCAGCTCACTGAAGCACCAAATAACTGTGGCCATATTTCCACCTTGAAAGTTCCTGTGTTACTAGAAATACTAAAGCAATCTCACTGGAAGCTCAGAATAACAGCACAGTCATAAACATCTAGAATAACTCCAGTGTGTAGTTTACCTTCAGGACATCCCAGAAAGCCACATTGTTGTTGGTATCTTTGGTGAGTATGTGTCTCTTGTCATTCAGAATGTGGCACTGGATAATACTGGCACCTCCTGCAACAACAGAACAACAGTTTGACTTCATGAAATGTAAAGAGAGAGAGCGATGTGGAGAAGACTGTATATGGAGATAAAATGCACAGGTTTACCCTTGATGACTTGTTCTGGCTGAGTACACAGTGGTGTCAGAGGGGTGGTGCAGTCATTGTCATACTCCCCTGATGATCTGAAGTTGTGCATTCCCTTTAGAGACTACAGACACAGAAAAAAAAAACAGATCACCTTCACTTCCTCCCTCTTCCTTGCAGCTATAGCTCCAATGTAATGTAATGCAATTATCTTTTGTGTATCACCCACACGACTGCAAAGCTGCATTACATTTTTACACAAACTGCAGGATGGGGGGGGGGATTACAGCTGAATAGGGTTAGGCGTGGCCACACGGACGAGCTTCTATCCGCACTTCAGCCGAGCAGTGATCTCAGAGGGGTCACGCATGCTTACCCATTTATTAACGGATGACTTGGTGGTAGAGACCCAGATCGCTGGAGGTGGGTCAGCAGATCTGTCCAGTTCCATCTGAGCAAAAGAGAAAGACGGCAAAAAGGTTGAATGACTCCCAATAGTTCAGCTTCGAGTGCAGGAATGACTGAGGGGAAATACAGGGACGCTATTTAGAAGTGGGTTTTTTTTCTTTGTAGTCTGTGTTGTCCTTTTAAATAACACAGAACAACAAAAAGAAGCCTCAAAAAGAAACAATAAACAACCAGTTATCCATGCGACAGTAATGTCTGTGTAGTGGCATGCATCTCCGGGTAAGATAAAGGAGCGCTTAAACACAAACTACCATCATTTATAGCTACACTGAAAGCAAAGGTAAGATGACACAGCTCAAAAATAAACTGTAAAAAAATCCCAGAAGCATTACTTCACTTCAGACTTGTTTAGTAAATCCTGCAGTTCATCACAGACCTGCACCATTTTGAAGCTACTTACTTTGAGCACTGGGGCCTTTTCCTCACAAATGAGCACACGGATGTCTGGGTTACGCAGGTCAGTGCAGTAGATCTTTTTGTCTCTGCCTCCAGAATATACGTGCGTGAAGGCCTCGTTGACCTGCAGCGCCCACACGCCTTCATCGTGCACCCGGTAGGTGGCGATACACCTCTGCTGGCCGAGCGACCAGAGGCGGATGGTCCCGTCTGAGCTGCCAGAAAGGCACTGTAGGGGGAAAAAAACAAACAAAAAAAGCCCAGCAGATTTAGATTTTAGAATTCCTCTGTTTAGGAGCCGCCACGTTCGAGGCGCCTCGACTCACCTGAGTGCCGTCTCGATTCAGCAGCAATGACTTGACGTTGTCTGTGTGGCCTTTTAGCTTCATCAGCTTCGCACATGTTCGGGGATCCCACACTCTCAGAACCTGAAGAAAGAGAGAAAAGAATGAAAGGAAATACTACCAGCATTTCTACATTTACAAGCACACCGGAGCCACATTATTGTGAATAAACAAAGTAACAGCGTATATGAAGCGCTCATTTGGTTTTCAAAGACGTGATCTTGTCACCTGTGCTTATATTTTTAGTTATGTAATGTAGTGACTAACTCACAGATGAGTGGCAGCCCACGAAAATGTCTGACGAGTGTCTCGACAGAAGGGAAGGGTCAGAGGATCAACTTGTGTATGTTGTTGTATTGGGCTGAAGAGCTTTTATTTCTCGAATAGCAACAACACTGGCACTAATTTGCAATCTTTTGGTGCACATGTGGAATCCAAACAACAAGCAGAAACCAAACGAATCCTCTACAACAATTCAAGCACTTGCTGGATAGCTGTCATTTGAATACATTATCAATCAGACTAAAACTGAACGTGATAGATGGAAAAATAAAACCTGAGTGTCGTTTTAATCTAGTTAAATATTTCCAAACCTTTTCTGTGGATCCAGATACGATGACTGTGCCCATCTGGTTCATAGCCAGACTGTAGATCGAGTCCTTGTTCCCGCTGAGTGACGAGGCTGCAGGAGACAAATTACAGTGAGTCCAAAGCTACCAGTACAAAGTAGACGGTGCACCGAGGTCAGTAATGGACGGCTGTCACGTAAAAACCATTACTTACTGGTGACAGTGTTGTTGGAAGCAGTGAGTGCTGTTAGTGTGTTCACATCCCAAAGAAAGATCTGCCGGTCCAGACCTGCAGACGCCACCAGCTCCTTGTCCTTCGCGTAAGCCAAAGCTTTCACGTAGTCCTTGTGTGTTCGTAACGTCGACATACAAAAGCCTTTGTGTGCGTTCCATACTTTGACTGTTGTATCTGACGAGGCAGATATCACTGAAAGCAGGAGGGAGTCAGTCAGAGGAGCAGAGCACGACAGTAAGGCGTAACATCCTGAACAGTGAGTGATTAAAACTCACATGTTTTTCCATTGCAGCAGAGGACTATGTCATTAACCCAGTCTGTGTGATGCTCCATGGACGCGATGTAAGGGTCCTGCTACAGGAAAAATGAAGACAGTTCAGTGCATGTGACAACAGATGCCTAGCTGTAGGCTGAATGTGGTGTTTGAATGAATGTAAAGCAGCTCTACTTTGTGCTGGTAGACGCTCCATATCCGGATGATGGAGTCCCTCCCAGCAGTGAAGAGCCGGTTGAGCGCAGGGTCGAGCTGGAGCGCGTTCACCCCGTTCCGGTTGTACTTCTCCACCTCGTCTCTAATGACATAAGACACCTGGAACACACGCAGGAGGGTGAACACTGAGGTCACACTCTTATCTCGACTACTTCTGGGTTGACCCACAGCACACCCACTTCCTTGTGCACGAGCTTAAACGGTTGCGTTTCGAGGACTTGCAGCGTGAAAACACGTAGAGTTCACTAAGAAAACATGGAGCCTGGCGAAATGACACGTATATTGAGTAAGAATTCAACACAGTTTCATTTTCACGGCTGGCACATTCAATGCTCTGACGATGCGCTCATGTGGTGGCAGTGAATGGTGGCAGGGTGGACGACAGAACCACCGAGACACGTCCGATTTACCAGCAATTAGACGGAGCCCGGACCCAGTGTAGCTAAGCTACCCTCAGCGCCGTAACAGCAAAACTGCTGCAGAGACAGGTCAGTCAAAATTTGTGGCAACTGTCGAGATTGGCATTTATCTAATAACGCATGTAAAACGTATTTCCATGAGAGTTCTTTGCAAAAACACATAGTCATTTAGACGCAACCGTTAGCAGAAGGCGCTAACACCTCACGGAAGCTAAGCTAGCTCGGTTAGCCGGCTTGAGTCATGACACAAAACAGCGAGGCTGCCTTTTCCAGCTGCTTTTTGCTGTCAATCGAGTATTCGTGAAACACGTCTTTAGGCTGTGGAGGCTGCTGCTCCCGCTGCCACACACTTATCAACAATACAACTCCTGTAATTTACCTGTACTTTCCTCCGCCCAGCAGCATTTTGCCTGTGATGCGTGGCCATCTTGCATGTTGACAGTCAATTCATGTGATGCTACATCCGGAAAAAAAGAAAACATATGCACCTGAGCTTTATGGGTAATGTGGTTTTACTCTGTCCTTACTGGAGGAAGGACTTTTCCCTGAGGATCAGTTCAGTTTCTAGGATACAGATTCTAACAGGGTTGGACTGTATTGAAAGTCCTCTGAGCATAAACACAGGACAGGAGTGTGTTTCAGCACCAGGCAGAGCAGAGCCCTAATGGCTGCAGTTATTGTAAGATTCTGAGATATTAAACACAATTGCATGCCTATTCTAACATGTATTTCTCAAACAACTTTCAAATTCCCCTCAGACACTCAGTATCAGTGCTCACTTTGCAGCTGAATCAGTAAAACTAGATCAGGGACACACTCACTGGGAGGTAAACAACAATCAGGCCTTTACTCCTTTATTAGAATGGCCTTAAAGTACGTCCCATCTTCTCTTATACCTTAATTAATACACAACATGGATGCATTCTGTACCTCCATGCAATCATCTTGTGAGTCTAAATCAAGTTTTTTATGTAGATCCACAACATAAAGTCTATTCTGTTTCATCACCCTCCTTAAAGAGCCCCTCTGCGGAAAATCTTTGTTGTTTTTTTTACTGGGTTAGCATGTCCATATGGTGTTTTTGTAAGTGCTGGTAGATGTAGCATGAGCAAAACAGACAGTCAGCACCATGGTTGAGCATTTCCACTCTCAAACTTCAGTTTTCTGATGACAGTCTCAGGACACGTTTAGTAAACAAAAATTTACGTTTAAAAAAAATATTTATTACGGTTTGTACATTAGAAATCTCTTCACACCAGATCGTTTTCTAAAAAATCTTCATTTACACAAACCAGCATAAACATGTCGTTAAGAGCTGTTATGAGCATGGCAAACCTATAGGGGGCAGTGTAGAAGCATAAAGCCATGCTAGTCCATCAGAATCTTGGAAAAAACACAACAACGAAAACTTCTTGTCATGATAATGGCGTGAAGATTGTTTGTTTGGACCGACAGAGAAGTGGAGCTACTCCTAAATGTGGTCTTAGAGTACAAAACAAGTACAATTCCTGAGAATATTGAAACATGTCGGTCCAAGTAAATGGCTGTAGCCAAACTGCAAACATAGGTCGCACATGTATGACGCTTTTGTCGCATTCTGTGACATCAAACTCCATCTCCTCCTATCTACACGTAAACGTAAAGACAGAGTTTTTCCAAATCTCCACTTTGACTGGAGTTTTCAGATGTGATTGTTTTCTGTGACTTGTAGCTTTGTTTACGTGTAAACCACTGAAATATCACCTATTTGTTACATGTAAACGGGGCCTCAGAGACACAGATTCAGACTTCTGAAGTTTCACATGTCACAAACCTAAATAAGTAGATCTGTCTGAGCATGTGTGACTGAATTTCTCCAACACTGCAACTTGTCATTGTGTAGCGTAAAGTAGTTTTACAGTGTTTGAGCAGAGTCGTGAGTGAGCTGGTGTGCTGAGCTGCAGTGATCAGGGAGGGGCGGATGGAGACAGAGGCAGGGGCAGTTAAATTAAAGCCATTTTAAAGCAAATAGGTATTATTTTCATGAGGGGGAAAACATCTAAATATGTAACTTCTATATATTTCTGGAGATTTAATGAATGACTAGAGAGGGACTTTACGTTTTTGATGAGTAAATGCTGAATCCGGAAACTGTATTGTTTCTAACTGATTTTAAAAGTGAACGTGCTTTTAATTGTAGATGTTAAAATCCCCACATATCCCCTCTCCCCCTGAATTTTGTTGAATCACGCTAAAGACATGACTTCAGTGCTCTCAGTGATCGTCCTCATACAGTTTGTTCTGTTGTTGTGATGAAGCACAGTGTCTCCGGCCCTCCTATAGGGACAGACAGCCTGTTATCGTCCACTAGAGGGTGTAGTTAACTCTGTAGGAGTACAGCATGTAATCCAAAAGTACTCAGTCCACTGGAAACATGCAATAAAACGCTGACTGATTGTCTGAAATGATGTCATTTTAAAGTTCATTCAAGTGCAAGTACACACCAGGAGGTTTCATTGATCAGCTGCTGGTATCTGACGGCAGCTTCTGTTGGTCCTCACATGGTTTCATACCTTTGATCAGCATGTTTAGTGCAATGATAAGAAGATGGTTTTGTGCTCAGAACACTAATTAAATGCTTACGTCTATGTTTTAACAAAAACTTGAATGGGGTACCATATCTTCAAAAAACATCAGTGAGTACATGGGTTGATTACGTGAATAATGCCATGTGATAACTGGACTATTAGATTAAACTACGGTACACTGCAAAAAGAAAAAAAAAACAGTAAAAAACAAACTAAACAAAGCAGTGAAAATCTGGCAGCAAGGGGATCAGAAAAGACAAAACAAAAAAACCCCTAAAAACAGTGCAATAGTGTAATGTTCAAAAACTGTAAAAAAAAAAAAAAAAAAAAACACACACAAAAAAAAACAGGGAAAAAAGACAAATGTTTAGTAAATAATAAATAATATTGTTGTTTTTAAAACTGATTTAAATACAGTAAAACCGTATATTTTTATAGTCACACATTGTGAAAGAAAATTACTAATTGTAAAAAAAAAAACAAAAAACAAAACCCCAAAACAAACATGCTTGTTGTGGACATTATTTATAGTTTTGGCCATTTTTTTGTAGTTTATTTTTACTGTCAACATTTAAATTTAAATTTTTTTGTTTGGGTAAATTTTAAAATACCACCTAAGAAATTATTTTTTTAAATTTTAATATATCTTTTTTTCTTTCAAAACACTCCACAAATGAATTAACATTTTTTCCTCTGTGAATTTACAAGTTTTTATCTGGTAATAAAATCAGAAAGATAACAGCAACAAATTTTGAAGCCTTAATATATTTACCTTTCTTTCAAATTATGGCAAATGTCTGAAAAATACCAATAATTTTTTACTAATTTAATACAGAAAATATTGTGTAATTTTACAGCCAAAAGTTGTAAAAGAAAAAAAAAAAGATTATTTATTGAAATACAGATTTTTGATGTGGACATACTTTAGAGTTTAGCCTGTTTTTGTTTTTGTATTTTACAGTATTTTTCTAAATTTTACTACCTTCTGACTGTAATTAAATAAAACAGTGACAGACTGTAAAGTAAAGGTTATGTTTTAGTCCTTCATTTACATATTTATTATTTTTAAAACTGCACATATCCATAAAATTATTACTTTTACTGATTTAAATACAGTTTAAATATAGTGTAATTCTGCTGCTGCCAGAAGTTGTAAAAGAACAAATCACCACTTGTTGGAATACAGATGTTTGATCTTGACATTATTTGCAATTTTCTTTCTTTTTCTTTTATTTTGAACAGTTAACAGATTTCACAGGTGATTATTTGTTATTTACCAAAACAGAGAACATCCATAAAACAACAGCAGCATTTAAAACTATTAATAATAATTTTTTTTTAAAAAAGTACAGCGTATTAAGCATATTATATCATAATGTTAAATAACTGGAAGGTCCATTCTTTGCCTCTCACAACTTTGCGTCAGTTCCAGGCCTCTGCTCACTGTCGGGGCCTCTCTGACCTGCTGATGTGTGATAGCTGTCAGCTCCTTCACTCTATCTGTGCTTCTGTCGTGTCAGATTGCGGCCCGGGGCGCCTGTGTGGGGCAGTAATCCTCTGCGGTCCGGCAGCAGCAGCAGCAGCAGCAGCATCCTCCCTCCCCATCCTGCGCTCTGGCTCAAGGGCAAACCGAGGTGCGCGTCTGCCGCAGCTGCTCAGCACAGCGCAGCGCAGCATCCTCTGCTCGGCTCGGGACCTTCTCCCCCGTGGCATGAACGCGGAAAGAGCCTCGCGGATGGAAGGCGAGAGGACAACTTGTACATCGCACCTGCGGCAGCTTTCAAAATGTCCAACACAGGCTGACTAGAGCCCACTTCAGCACTTCAGCGCTCAACTTTGGATTGCGGTGACACTTTGTCTGCGCCCTCGTTTGGAGTTTGGAGTGGTGCGCAGGATGAAGCGAGATAAGCCGTGAAAGGAAGACATGGATTTTGCACGGAGGATTTGCTTGTTGCTTCTTCTCAAACCCGAAGAACTCAACTCTGGAAATTATGTTGTAAATCTCAGAGTTTCGGATGTAAGTATTTCTCCCTTTGAGGGGTTTTTGCATTCATATTTTTTTGGCTACAAAGAGAAAAAGCAACATTTTTAAGCTGCCTGGTTGTATTTTTTAACTGCTTTGTTTCCATTTATATGCATTTTTAACACAACCAAGGTGTTAGCAGAAAATCTAAACTATTAAAACAAATTAGAATTTCTTCAAAAGTCTAATTTCAAGCCTTAATCAATAAACCAAATCAGTATTTACTCTTATTTTGGTAATCCACTTTAAAGAGCTCTTATTTTGACAACATCTGCATCTTTTCTAACTACATATTTTGTGTCCCATTTCTTCCATAACTCATGAGATGTGATTGGTGTCACATTGCATTATGATGTGAGGCAGTAATTACAGCTACATGTCATCCACAGCTTCCCAAACCAGAACGTTCCACCTCAAATCTTTAAAATCTTCTTCTTCTTGTTTAATGTGACTGACATGATTAGTTTCAAGACTTCCCTGTTTTGTTTTTTTAAGTGTCGTCTGAGTAACATTTGGTCGTGAAACGCGTGAAACCAAAGAGCCCATAAAAGTGATTATTCAACACCTTAGTCATGGTGATGACTTCACCGCCGTCTCATTTCATTGCTCTATACATTCTGTAACTTATGCATTTAAGCCGTCTGGTGCAATTATACTGAAAGGTTTCCGCCAAATAAGTAGGTCATCAGTTCAGCCTGTTCACCTAAAGCTGTGAGAGGGCGACGCACACGTAACACGGCCCAGTAAGAACCGCCAATAGCGCCGTGACTCGGCGTCCGAAATCTTCAAATCTTCCAAATAATTCACATTTTGTGCAAAGTTTGACGAGTCCTGTTTCTTGAGCTAATAAGGTGAGCAGAAA